TCAATATTTGTTGAAATAAAACCTCTAGCCCAATCGCCTCTAGCTACAGAGGAGGAAATTTGAGTCTCAAAGCATGACTTGCCTAGTGGCACACAACTAAGTCATGGCAGGGCCTAAATTAGAACTCAGGGCTCCTGAATCCATTTCTAGGGCTTTTTCTACTATACTCTACTAGAACATCTACCCAAAGAAAAATAATTTCACTGCAAAATTACCTGACAGAAACGAGGTGGCCAGTCATGCCTGGAATCCGGTTCTCAACTTAAGGGCCCTTATTCTTTTCCCAATATATGCCTAAAGCATGTTTTCAGACACTACTAGCCCTGTGACCCTGGGCAAGTCACTTAGCCTCTGTTTGCCTCAGTTTCCTCATCTATAAAATGGGGATAACAATAGAGCCTACTTCCTAGGGTTGTTGTGAGGATCAAATGAGATAATATTGGTAAAAACGCTTAGCAGAGTGGCTGGTATATAGTAGGAGCTATATAAATGTTACCTACTATCATTATCATGATTGATGATGATCATGATGTTCTAATGCACTTCACATTCTGGGGCAAATGCACATGAGAACTTTCGGGTTCTGAGAATGATCCTGAAAATGACGGAAAGAATCATTCTAAACTTCTTCTGGTGTAGTGGAAGGGACTCTGGCTTCTGAGTCAGAAGATCCAGGTTATACTCCTGGAGACCCTGATTAAGTAAGTCACTTTAGTTCTCTGGGCCTCAGTGTAAAATGAGGGTGGTGGGTAGATGGTCACTTAGATCTCTTTTGGGTCCTCCTGAGGTCCAAAGTCCAGGAGTAAGCTCTTGAATTTTCTTTCATTCAGGTGGCAGTAGAGTATAGTGACTGGAGCACTCAGTTTGAAGGAAAAAAAAAAAAAAGAGCTGGGCTTGAATTCCTGGCTGTGTGTCCCTGGACACTTAGGGTTTCTTGGTCTCCATTTTCTCATGTCAAATGAGGGAGTTAGAGTGGCTGGCCTGAAAGTTCTCCTTCAGCACCAGGTCTGTTGTCTTGTGTTATCCTATGATCTGGGTTGAACTTGGCTTTTCCTAATGAACATAAATAACAGCTCCATAAATAGCAACTACTGGTCACATAAGCTGTGGGCTCCCAGTGATTTTTAACTCATAGCGAACTGAGATGTTAGAAACTTGAACCCATAACAAATACAAACAGGCGGGGGGGGGGGGATCCCCAGCGAAGACTATCATTGACAGCATAGGTGAGCCAATGTTGTCCCCAAAACAATCCCCACACAATTATGTGTCAGTCAGATTGTACATGGCTGATCTGAATTAAAAGCAGCACAGGCTAGAGGCAATTGATTCTCTTTTTTCTGACCTACTCCCACACAGACACAAACAGACACAGGCTGGCTTAAGATATAACAACTATTTCAAAATATTTCAACCACAGAGCGACTCCTGGATTTACTAAAAATCCTTTTACAAATGTACCTTTCTCTGAAAAATATCTCTTCCCCTGCCCTCCACGGGAAAGGGGAACTTGCCCTGAATAATGCTACTTCTCCACTGTCCTCAATCAAAGGGTCTCACTTCAACCATTTTGTAAACAATCCAACAGCCAGGTCAGATGGTGATTTGTCAATAAGTCTGTCTGACATCAAGATTTAACCAAGAGAAATGATGGGAGCCTAGAGGAGACCATAGGAAAGTTCTGACATTGAGTTATTTTTTTAAGACTCCTCTACAAAATTCTTCCCAACTAATTTTCTAGAAAATGATTTTTCAACAACTTAGTGAAATTCTCCAAGCATTCAAAGGCACATTTCATACATAGTTTTCCCCATTCTCCTAATTACCAGAAGCTTTTGGGAGGCTAGTGCCAAATTCTTGCTCTATGTCCCTCCCTTTTCCAAGACCAGAGAATCTGAGATTGAGATTTTTGGGGCCATCTAGTCTAATGCCCCCATTTCACAGATGAGGATATTATGCTCAAACTTTCAAAGTTCTATATGTTTACCTTTTCCTATTATAGAATGTTAAGTGCTGATCATCTATAGTTCGAACCCCAAGCCATATCTGATTGAGAAGGTAAGAAGGGAGCTACCTTTTAGGATAATATGATTCAAGACTCTTATCGCTAAGCACAGTACCCGGCACACATTAAGACACTTAAATGCTGGTTGACCGATTTCTCCAGGCCACACAGGAAGTAAGTGACATAGCCTGAAGTGAAACCTAGGTTTTATTTTTTTTTTTACTCCAAATCCAATATTCTTTTCATACACACTCATTTTTGGAAACCGAGGTCAAGAGAGATGAATTGACGGGGCCAGGATCACTTAGTTAATGGTAAAGTTGGGACCAGAGCTCAGTCCTGCCAGTAAAACACACTTTTTCCTCTTTAAGTTCACACATTTGTATCTAGAGCCTTCTTAAGTTCACACATTTGTATTTGGAGCCTTCTCCCTTTCTCCCTCACGCTACTTTCCATCACTCAGCTGGCCAAACTGAGAGATGTTTGGAAAGAACTGTAAGACAGTTCCCTGACCACTCATGCCCTTTGCGCAATAACTAACTTCACTGAGGGCTTGGGAAGAAGAAGAGGAAGCTTCAGTTTGGACCTCAGGACAACCAAAGCTAGGGGAAAATGATACCAATTCCATAAATCATTTCCAGAGAAACAATGACACCAAGCCAGATTCTACTAAAGCTTGGTATAAGGCCACTGAGGTGAGTGGTGAGCAGAGTGTCTCTTTTATATTAAACAGCATTTATTTTAGCTTGCAAAATGATTCATCTGCTCATTGCATCTCTCCCTACAACTTATTCCAAGAAGCTGCCAAATCCCTAAACTGAAAGTTGACTTCCCCCATTTCTACTCTTATCCATTTTTCAAAGACAACTTCACCTTGAAGAACTTCTTTTGGCCGAACAGAACTGGACAGCTTAACCCATCCTGAAAGTGAAATTTATGACGTTAATTATACTACACTAGAAATTACCCTTCCCTTCCTCTTTGGTGCAATCACAATAGTTTTTTGAAACCAAAGGAGATTCTTTTGAGGGGGGAAGGGAAAGGGAAAGAGAAGTAATTATCTCAACACTTACAGAGAATATTTCTCTTAAATTTAGGTTTGGCAATTGAAGTTCATTCCAGTCTAAATCATGTATTTTCCATTGGCCATTTCAAGGAGAAGGTGAAATTCACCCCTTACTCTCTTCCATCCAGCACGGAGTTTCACTGTATTTCTAATAGGGCAAAAGTTTTCCATCATATGTTTATCTCTACTTTCTATACTGCCACATCATTCTCATGGGTTTCATCAAGTGTCTCTAAGAAAACTCCAGAAAATGTTTTTCCAAATGCAGTTTATAAAAGAAATTCACAGAGTGAATTGCTAGAATGAAAAAGTGAAGGGTTAGTGGCTAAGCTGAGCTTCTCTGAGGATGTAAAGAAGTGTGATGTAACACTTACAAAGTAAAAAAGATGGTCTCTGAAGCCCTGTGTGGGATTGTGTGATGGGTAAAAAGCAATTTATTGCGGTGAATTAGGTTTCACAATTCAAGTGATACTGATTTGCTTCAAAGCCTTATATAATACTTTATTTTAAGCTTGCTCTGTGACAGTATAACACCAAATTAAGTCACTCATTTTCACCCGACTACAATTCCCTAGCTCTAATTCCCCAGTGGATTTTCAATTTAAAAGAAGCGCTTGTCCTACAAAATATGAAACACCAAGGGACAAATGACTCCTGAAATGGCCCATGAGGATGCTTTGTTTCTCCACTCCCCAAATTCAAAAGTATGAGAGTGTTTACAGAAGTTTCTAAGTTTGGGTTCATTGTCACTAACTTTTCTGAGATGAGTTTCCTATTCTGTAAAATGGGGGTTAACAACATCTGTAGTACCTACTTCAAAGGGGATAATTTATAGAAAGCCCTTTGCTAACCTGAAAATGCTAGGTGTCATTTTTTTTTTTATTACTATGATGATGGAATAGCTGTAGCAAAGTAATAAGGCGTAGAGACTAATGGGTTAATTCAGAGGTACTTCTGAAAATGTCAAAGTTATACCAAAAAGCAATCTCTGGGTTCCTCTTTTGGTAATAAATAACTGCATGAAAATTTAATTTCAGAGCACTTCACCTAAGACATGTAACAAATTTTCCCTGATGGTCTCATCTTCAAGTTGGAGGAGGGGAGAAACGTGTTAGTGAATGCACCTGATGCTGGGGGAGTTAAGAATGCCCTTAGAAGCCCTCCACAAACTACTAAGGAGGACTCTCCCAAGAGTCAGTGAGCAAGGCAACAGGAGATATTTTCAGGCCTAGGAAGTGAACTCCAGATCAAGGAAGGAGAATTAACCAACTCTTGTCAAGCCCTGGGAATGAGGGACCATCTTTCCTTCCTCCTAAGCACCTTGGAACATCTCAATCCAAATTTTATTTTGGTAGCAGTCTCCAGAGTGCCAACAAGAGGGTATGTATCACTAGGAGAATTCCTCAAAAGAAGCCAGGAGGGAACAGGAGTGGGCTGGGAGGGTGGAGAGAGGAAGAGGAAGTTATACATTTGTACAGTATTTTGTGTGTCAATGGAGAATGAGGCAGGTAAAGGAAGAATGTGGGGAATCCAATCACCATGCCGTGGTTTGGAGGTTGGGTGAGTGTGGTCCACATGACTTGTAATACAAAGTTTTAGGGGAAAGATATAAAAACATAAAGAGGGTACCTTAGATCATAGATCTCGAATTGGAAGGGACTTTAGAGGTTCAACTATCCCACTCTACTGATGAGGAAACGGGCTCTGAGAGATTAATCAGCTTGCCAAGGGTCACACGGCTAGCGGTGACATTTGAACCCAGGTCTTCCAGACTCCAATTCCGGTGCTCTGTCTACTCCACTCCACCTAGGTGATGGTCGTCATTGGCCTGCCTCTCCTTACCAGCCATCTGGAGCAAGCACGCGCTCCTAGATACGCGGCAGCTGAAGGGCGGTAAGAGTTTGCACGCAGCACCTGGGGCTTACTTACCTTGCAGGGAAATAGCACAGCAGAGGCCACTTTTTCCATGGCCAGGTTCCTGATGCTAGGGGTCAGGGATCCCCGGCACGTCGGGCAGCAGCTCAGCTTCTGGCGGCATTGGTTACAGACCAAGTGCCCGGCCTGGCACTGCAGGATCGGGGGTAGGACATAGTCAAAACAGACCGGGCACTCGAAGAGCGAAGTCAGCTCGTGGTGCTGGGGAGAGACCGGCCCGCCGCCGCCGCCGCCGCCGCCGCCGCCGCCGCCGCCGCCGCCTCCTCCGCCAGGGCCCGAGATCACTGCGGCCGCGGCTGCCACCGCGGACGAGCCAGCTCCGGCAGCCGAGATGGTGACGGCGGCCGGGGGCGCAGCCTGGGGCTGGGCGTGCTGCTGCGGCGGAGGCTGCTGCGGAGGCTGCTGCTGCTGCTTGCCACAGGGTTTGTTAGCACCGGGTCCGGCGGAGGACGGGCGGCTCATCGCGTTCTGAACCAACCATCGAACTGTGGGCGCCGATCGGCCGGGGCACGGAAATCAACCCACTCCCTCGCCGCTGGGGTGTCTCGGTGTGAAGCTGCAACCGCGGCTGCCCCGGGACCGCCCACTGCTCCGGGGAAGCGAGCCGGGGTGAGGCAAGAGGCGGGGAGCTCCGGGGAGCCGTCTCTGCCAGCCACCGCCACCGCCGATGGGACGCCTCCAGCGTTCCAACGATATCTCGGGGTCCCAGCGACGTCTCGGCTCTCCAAAGGCGTCTCCAAACGCAGCTGCTCCCACTGGCCCACGCAGCCCCGGCGCGCCCTCCTCTCTCTCTCTCTCTCTCTCCCTCCAGCCGGCCAGTGCCCCGCCTATCCACCCCCCCACGACAAGTCCCACCTGCCTGCCCCCTTCCAGCCCGGCCGTGTGTGAAGCCTCAGCCCAGCCGCTTCTGGAACAGTATCTGACGCAAGAGACCGAGGCGACGTGACGCCGCGGACACGTGTGTGATTCCGCCCAGACACTTCGCTGCGGGGACTGGCAGGGGCCGGTTGCCCACAGAGCTTGACTCCACCCGGCTTCGCGGCGGGGCGTGGACTGAGGCGTTCCCCGCCTTGATGAGGGAGGGAGTGGCCCTGGTGGTTGTGCTGGCCAAGTTTCCTGGCTGCCCCTGGAAGCTGCCCTTGGCGTTGAGCGGCTTCCCAGCTTCCCTGCTTGCAGCCGCCGAGCTGTCGGTTGAAAGAGTGGGGATTTCGTGGCTCGGGGTTTTAGCTGCTTCTAAGCTCTAGAGGGAGGGAGCGACACAGCCCAGCCTAAGCGGGCCCCCTGGGATTCAGTCTCCCAAGACAGCTGATCCTGTTTTTAGCCACGCCCAAACACTGGGTAGCAACACGGGCAGCGTCATCCAGAAACCAGAAAGACCACTGTATACTGTGCCAATAGATTTTTTTTTTTTTTTTGTATCTCCACTGCTTGGCACAATGCTGGGCGCGTAGTCTGCGCCTGATCATCCTTATCGATTGACTGTGCCTTGTGTGCTCCGTGGGGGCACGGAAGGTGGGTGCTGGAGCCCTAACGTTAGGCCTGCTGTCAAGGGGGGATGGAGGTTTTCTTTGGCAGCGGTCAGACGGCCCGGCTGCCCTGTGGAAGGTTTGTGGGAGGGGAGTAGCATTTCTAATAGGTCAGTTACACGTGTGGGAACTGGTTTTGGCGGCCATGCAGCTGGCAAGCACAACAGGGAGGTCACGAAGCTCCCTGACCCTGGACCACGTGCTCATCCAGTGTGGACTGGCTGTGCTTTTTGCAATTTGGCCAGTTTTCTGAGCAATGGCACTTTTGCTAGGCAGGGGCCAGAGAAAGGAGCTGAAACAGCTGCCCCACCCTCCACTTCTTAAACCAGCTTGTTAATCAACCTGGTAAAGGCTACTTTTGTTCAATGTTAACCAATGCTTTTTGAGTGCCTACTGGAGAGAGTTCAGGGACCCATGGGGAAGGAAGGCTAGCATTCAAGGGTGAGCTGGTAAATATTTAACAACCAGCTCTCCAAAAAAAAATTATGACACATATTTGAAACTTTAATCTGCGTTAAGATTTTCTCGTTTTTTCAGTCTAAACAATCAAAACAATAAATCAAGTCATTGATACACATCAATCATTTGTAGCATTTGCTGATTTCCCAGGTATAAATGCTCTCACTCGTCTCAGAGCCAGGCTCTAGCAAACCCCTGCTTGCGTTCAAACCCCACCCCTGATATTTAGAAGCTGTGGGACAACCGTCAAGTTCCTTAACTCCTCTGTGGTTCTTACTACCCAGTGGTGGTGAGGATCAAATAGGATTATGGATGCAGAGAGTGCTCTGCAAATTTTAAATCACTGTGAAAAAGTTATCATTACTGTGTCACTAAGTGATATTCCTAAAGTACAGATATTCCACTGTCACCTCCTTGTTCAATAAACTTCTGTGGCTGTTAGTTCTGGAATCTAAAACAAACCCTTCTGCTAGGCATTGATTTAATGTACTTTCAAACCTGGCTGCAAGCTTCCTTTCCAGCCTTATTATACATTATTACCCTTCACACACCCTGTAGTCCCCCCCAAACAGGCTTGATGTTTATCACATGGAATTCCATCTCCTAGGCTCCTGCCTTTGCAATGGCTGCTCCACATGCTTGGAAGGACTCTGCCACATAGAATCCCTACTTTCCTTCCAAGTTCAGTTCATGGGTTTCATTCTAAATGGGGCCTTTTCTGATTCTTCCCACGTTAGGGTTTCTCTCCCCCTCCCCAAATTATCTTGTATTTATTCTGTATACACATATATTTATTACACGTGTATCCCTTTTCCTTTCTCCTCCCCCATCTCAATTCTTAACGTTTTATGTATCATGGATTTCTTTGGCAGTCTGAACCCTACGGACCCCTTCTCAGAAGAATTGTTTTTAAATGCATAAAATAAAAGACATAGGATTAAACAGGAAACCAATTGTATTGAAATGTCTGTAGACAAGAAGACTGCAATCATGTGTGACCCAGCAGGTAGGTTTAATAACAGCAATCTCAAAGTAATGATGATATTTTGAGATGAGCTAAGAAATAATAAGATTATATTATAATAAGAAATAATAGAACAAATATGTAATATGATATGAAAATATCTGTGATTTCTGTTGGTGACAAAGTCACAGGTCCTGCAACCATTACTGTAGTTGGTTGCCTACATTTGTTTTTGAAGGAAATGCTAGAATTTAGTTCAAGGTTAGTGAAAATAAAGATGTAATTTTTTTCCCATTCAAGTTCATGGTCCCCTCAAAATCTGTTCATGACCCTTTGAAGGTCCATGGACCCTGGTTAAAAACCCCTGCCATAGGGGGCAGGTAGGTGGTGCAGGGATAGAGCACTGGCCTTGAAGTCAGGAGGATCCCAGTTCAAATCTGGCCTCAGACACATGATACTCACTTAGCTGTGTGGCTCTGAGCAAGTCACTTAACCCCAATTGCCTCACCGAAACACACACACACACACACACACACACACACACAAACAAACAAAAAACCCTGCCATAGAAGGCCAGCTCCTCCAGGGCAAGGATACCTTGAATTTAGGGTGGCCCATACTAGGCACTTGACTGGCTGAATATTATGCACTGATAAGGAACAAGGAGTTGAAACCTTGGATTGAAAACTAATGTTTCACTATGCTAAGTACTTTAGAATTATAATTTCATTTAATTCTCACAACAACTTTGGGAGGTAGGTGCTATTGTTACTCCATATTACAGATGAGGAAACTGAGGCAGAGGTTAAAGTGACTTGTCCAAGGTCACACAGATAGTAAGTGTCTGAGACTGGATTCAAACTCAGGTCCTCTGAGTCTATCCACTATGTCTTCTAACCAACCCAGGTGACTAAAAGGAGATATGATAGTCTTGGCTTTCTCTGTATAGGGTTCATGAGGTCAGTCTTGAAGATCTCAAAAGATTATGAGGCCTCTGGGAAAACATCAAGGGGTCTTGCCTCTGAGAAAATGCTGGGGGAGTGTGATGTCTCTGCATCAGAGTTTCTAAGGATTTCCATGACCTTGGGGCTCTGATGAGGAGTTGCTTTTGTTTTAAATAGAGTGTTCTCTCAATTGGCTGCATGAGTCAGAAGACATGGGGAAAGTATCACACAGTCAGGTAACTGGAACCATGGTGTTGTCCCGTGTATTCTGCTGGGAGCTGGGATACCTGAACTTTGGTCTGGCTTTGCTAGTAACTAGAATATAACTGTGACCCTTGAAGTCAGGACTGTCTTATCTAAACTCATACCCCAGTGTATACAGTAGAAGCTTCATAAGTGTTTACTGGCTGGGACCTATCTGCCTTGCCCAACCAAGATCTTGTTGCTCTGGTCACTGCTGATGCAACTCAGAGGGGATTGTTTTGGCTTTCTCATTCATAGGAAGAGCTCGGGGTCAGCAGATAAAGAAGCATATATTAAATGCTTTTTATATACATTATGCTGAGCTAGGGCAATCCAAAGATAAAAGTGAGAGAATCTCTGCTCTCAAAAAGCTTACATTCTGTTGGGGAAAAATACAAAAAAAAATTTAAGAGAAGGGGGCAATAAGAGTCCTAAGTGCCAGACATAGAGTCTCCCCAGCAGTGGCCACAGGACTGAATTTGGCTGGGCAGGAGTGCAGTGACCCACTGTGCAATAAACATCCATCAAGCACCTCCTAGTGGATGTGCTGACTCCTGAGAGTTTGGACAAGTCATACTCTTTGCCCTCAGGGAGCTTACAGTCTATTATGGGGACTCTTACAAAGACAATTGTAATGTACTGAGAGCAGGATGAGGTGAGGAACACCTCACCTCTATAAATAAATAAATCCAGTTAGACTGGAATGTAGTAGGAAAGAAGGCATTAAAGGCAGGTTGGAACTAGATTGTGGAGATCTGTAAATACCAAGCTGAGAGTTTACTGTATTGTAGCCTGTTGATAATAGAGAGCTACCAAAGATTTTTGAGTAGGGGAGGGACCTTATCAGATTCAGCAATGTGGTGAAGGATGATATCTTATACACCTCGTTAATGAGGGACAAAACAAAATGATATTTCAGTGGAGGAGGGGGAGAAAAGCATATTATGCCATGTAGATAAAAACATGATATATACATAATATACCTCTGCCCAGGACCCTAGACCTGGAGTCAGAAGAGACCTCAGAGGTCACCTAGTTTAATTCAACCATTTTATAGATGAAGAAACTGAGGCCCGTGGAGGAGGAAGCCACCCAAGAGTCTTGAGGGATGGGGGCTTGGGTCCTCTGACTGCAAAACCAGTATGCTTTCCAATGACCCATGTTGCTTCCCATAAGCAGGTACATATTAGAGCGAGATGGGGCCTTAGCCTAATCTAATGGATCATTTTTATGCCAATAAGGGAATGACTGTCTCCAGCTCACCCAGATGTTGTTGACTCATTTCATTCATGTCTGACTCTTCCAGATTCCATTTGGGGTTTTCTTAGCAAACATACTGGAGTGGTTTGCCATTTCCTTCTCTAGCTCATTTTACAGAAGAGGAAACTGAGGCAAACAGGGTTAAGTGACTTACCCAGG